TGATTGAAAGTGAAGGAGATTCGCTTTCACCATCTTTTGATCGATGCTTTAACAAAGCCTCAATGATCGTTTCCGACCAGTACCGGCGATAAGAGAGTAAACCCAAATCAGACAGTGGCCGCTCTGGTGTACCAATTTTATTCTCGAGTTTTGATAGCGTGTAACCTAGAGAACGGGAAATCGATTTTTCTGATCATCAGAATTCATCTGAACTTACTAAAGTCAATCATAAAATGTCCATAGCCCTTCTTTTGATAGGGTGGCAGTGTTAAAATGCATGATAAATTGTAATCTTCATTGGTTTCTTTATCCTACAAGATCAAATTCAAAGTTCGCCTCTCTCGCTGCAGTTTGCTGAAACTCACTTTAGAGAAATAACCAACGATATGAAAACCTTGTGCATCAAATTCGGTTAAAATATAAAACATAAATGGATCTGTATCATAATACAAAGTCTTATGATCAAGAAATAATTTCGCCAAGAGACAAAGATGATGAGAATAGGTTTTGTTCTTTCGTCCATCAACTTCGAAGAATGAGATTGTTCCATTACGATAAATTTCATTACCAGGCGGATGAATCAATGTGCATTTTGTCTATCGAAAGAAATTTAATCAGGTTTATTTTTCAAGAAGTAATTTCTTACTCGATGTCGCTTCAATGCATCAGTATCTTTACAATATTTCAAACAAAATTCGCAAATATAAACAACTGGACACGAGATCAGTTCCTAGAACGAAGAATATTTCATTCGTGAATATTCATTTGCTGAACACTCACTTCAGGATAAGGTGAAAAGTACCATGGTTTGATAAAATATCTTCCTAAGTGTATCAAATCAATTTTCTTCACTTTTGTTATTGAATTCACACCACTGGAAATCGAACGGCGTTATATAGGAAAAAAAAGAATCAAATACATATGGAAAATGCTGACCTGCGAAGTCTATATATGAAAAAAAGTGCAAAACTCGTTGATGAATAAGCATTGACACAAAAGAAGATTGAAGAACAAGTTCAATTTACACGAAAACTATTCAAACAACTAAACAAATGCTGAAGCCATTTAATTTACTTCGTACCTTACATTTACAAATTACTCAATATTCGTGTATCATCCGCGGTATCATTGCACGTCGACCGTGACGCACGTCGGTTAATGCTAATTCAGCTAAATTTAGTGCATGGAACACTGTTTAATAATGAATATATAACAAAATTATTTAAAAAAAACGTAATGATCATAAAACCTGTATTATTTTTCTCTGAGATAACTCGCTTTACGTGTTATTTGCATCCCTAGCAGTTGAAGATTCATGTGAATGAGACAAGTTGACTTGACCCATGAGACAACTTGCTTTTTTCCCGTGATATTTGTATCTTGAATCAAGGAAGATTTACCTTCGCTTTGCAGCTCTCAGCTGAATTGACGTGATAGATTTCTTTTCGTGAAAGTATAACAAGAATAACTATAATACTCAAAATTAAAACGAATAATTTCTATACGTTTTATTTTTAACCAGTGGATTTCCAGAATTCGTGCCTCCACCGTGAATTCCGTGTTTTCCCTTAAACAGTTAAAAGCCTTAATCGGTTACCACAACTGTCTCGATTAACGTACGGTTATAGAAGAACTACAGTAGTTTGTGCGAAAAATCGCCGTGTAGTTTGCACGGGAGCTCTCTAGTTATCTTATATTTCTTAGTCTTTCTGTGATAAAATAGATGTCCCCATGTGTAGTCCATTCGTTAGTGGCCCGTATTTCTACTTACATTTTTCTCGGATAGAGTACTAGTTCACTTCTCACAAACTTTAATCACACAATATAATAGTTTTCTAAAAGAAATAAAGTCAATCAAAGATTAACGAAAAATAAAAACAATACATATCTACTCATATATCGATTGGTCATTCTTTCTTCAACAGAGATGCCATTTTCTTTGTTCACGAGAACAATGGATCCGAACAAACCGTAGAACTATATGATGCACGTTTCCAGCAGTTTGAGCATCAAAACAACACGAAGGTAAGTGACAAAGTCAATACTTGCAAATTAGCCCATGCGGAAGCGCCGTATGGAGAAAAACGACCTTAACTAAACAATTTCTGAGATCTTTTACGAAAGACTTCTGTATTGTAAGCTTTTAATGCTCAACCAGTTAGATGAGAGTGTCAACTGATAATTTCTTNGTAAAATATGATCGACAAAGTTTGTCATTCAAAAGTCGTCGCATAGAATCTTTTGTAAGCCAATGTCGCACCATACAAACACCCTTATCTCATCGTCGTGTCGGGACTAATCAAAGTCAAAATGGTCATCTGTTCTCGTCCTACGTTTCTCTTTCGTAATAATATCAGGATTGTAGAAGTTCGTCAAACATATCAATCGGTTAGATTCATCGAAACAAGAGAAAATGTGCAAGATTGTGCTCGTTTCAGAGGAAGGTGTAATTGTAATAGCTAGATTTGAAATAATTAAATTCAGTCGATCAAGAACCATTTAAACGTTTTTTCCTCGACCTGCTAAATTTTCTAATGTCATGATGTGAAATAGTTGTCAGTAGAAAAGTTCTGAACATATTCAAGTGGAACTGTTTTTTATGATTATTGTTTCATATTCAATCTGTTGAAAAACTCGTCGATGAGCAAAACTTTTGTTAGATAGATGACTGGACGATATCGAGTTGAAAATCTCTTTTTCTTTCATTTTCACATTCATCCGTCCACGACTTTTGACTGTTCTTCTAGTTTGTAACTTCATCGGATAAAAATGAAATATTCGCTGAGAATATTTCACGGAAGTGGAACAAAACAATGCCGTTCATGAAAAGATTCGTTGGAAGAAAAGTCTAAATCATTATCAATAAGTCATATCAACGGTAATTATTGCCAAAATAAACATTTTCATCTTAACTAATCTGTTTTCTCGAATTGAACTTTATTTCTCGACCTCGAGAAGTTGCCTTTCAGAAGAGGCATGAAAAATAGAGAACATTTCTCTTTTCGTATTCAATGTGCAGTATTGGAATCTCTTGACACCAATACGAATACGCAAGGAGAAGTAAAAGACGAAAGACGTGTTATAATTTGATCGATCGAATATCATAGAACGACAGAATGAATGAATGAAACATCTTCTGCGTTCTCTATGTGATTCACAAGATGACGTCTAAAATGCGCTTATCTATTAAGGTAAAAGAACATCAAACATTTTTTATTCTGTTACCTTTTCTAAAACTGTCAAAATATGTTAATACCACTTTTCTCTCCGCTCATTGGACGGAATATCAACCAATGGAAAATCGCCATTCGAACTCTTTACTGATTTTTATATGAAGTCTGTCATTGGTTAATATCATATGACGAGACAAGTCAATTGATCAATTCTTATTTGTTTATTGTTTGCTTCTGTATATAACATTGACACATTTCATCTCATGCTAACTGGAACTTACATATAAATATTTATGGTTCAAAAAATGCCAATGATTACCGAGCCGGCTCAAACAAAACTAACTGAAACGCCGCTCGAANATTGTTTATTTTACATATTGTACAGAATATTGTTCTTCTGTTAGATTGAATTTCTTTTTCTTTTGTCTCTTCACGTGATTCAATATTGTCAAAGTCTGAATAAAATTAATGATCGTTCGAATTCTAACGTTGATGTTATCTTGAATGCTTTTTTATCGACTTTCTAGATGCTTTTTATTACAATTCATTGGAAACGGACATATCGGACGTGTAAATTGTACATGTGTGTGAATGAGAAAGAGAAGGAGCAGAATAAATATGGGTGAAAACAATTGTTTTCCATTTCATTGTCCTCCATTCACGTAATCTTACCAGATAGATCAATGTCACGAAGCGATCTGGCCGATTTGCAACGGTTGACTGTCGAAGTATGCGATATTATACACGATATATTGAAAGATATTTTCGGTTCTCGATTAACCAACAGAAGGCCAGAAAAACCGCGATTTTCGCGGCTATTGTTAGCCGCATATCCGTTCGTCTTAGCTATTCTGATTTATGGAATGGTTTACTTGGGTGTGAGCAATTAATTCAAAATGCCATCGATCAGAAAACCCAGGTTATTGTGGCACGGTCGGTTCCGGCCGGCTAGGTTCGTTTTCCGACCATTTTCTTGCCGCCGGAATCGGCGAAAACTGTTCCGGAACCGATTCAGATTTCAACGGATCCAGTCGCCGGAATGATCGACCTGGGTAAGTAGAGAATAGATGAAAACTCGATGTAAACTATATTGCAAGTTCTTTTAGAGTTGGTATTGAAGTACATGCGCGAGGCACGAAAGGAAAATCGATGAATATTTCAAAGTAATTTAATTAAATTTTTTTTTGTGAATAAATTCAATCAAATAGTAGAGAATTCATTTTCGATGACGATGGTGAACAGTGTTCGCCGAATACTGTTTCGATATTCTTTTACCTTAACAGATAAGCGCATCTCACACGTTGTCTTGTGAGTCGCATAGAGAACGCAGAAGATGTTTCATTCATTCATTCTGTCGTTCTATGATATTCGATCGATCAAGTTATAACACGTCTTTCGTCTTTTACTGGTCGCGATAAGATACATTTACTCGACGCTACATACACTAAATCGTCATATTGTATAGGCCCACATAGCCCTATTCGAGAACAGAAAAGAATAGAGAGCGTTGATTTGAACATAGTGTGAAACAGACACTACAGATAAAAACATGGATTGATTTCGTTTCAATGTCTTTTACGAATGAATATGAAACCATTTTCTCGTGGATATCTACTGAAAACTTAGTCAGTTCAAAAATAATTTGCAATCAATATGCATTCATCTGCTTATAAAATGTTTTGATGTGGAAATAAAAGCATTAGCAATAGAGATACTTAACTCGTTAACAACTGGAACGTTTATCAAGTTAATCGATACCTAGCAAAACTTGTTGTGAAGCATCTGTCAGATTCTTAGTTTGTTATCAATACATAAATATGAGAAAATCAGATACAATGGTTTATCTTTATATTCCGCATCTAATGGTACATCATTTTTTGTTTCCATAATAGTTGTGCAGAAATTTAAAGTAACATCACTTCATTACTAACATTCAGAATGCACGAAGCATCTTACATAACGAACGATTTGTCATGATTATAGCTTTTTAATCACCATCGTTCATAGGCACTATGACTCTGTCATTATGAGTACTACGAAATATTGATGAATATATAAGTGAAATCTTCTGAGTGAACGCATCAATTCAAAGTCCGTTTTTGAAAAACGGTTTCAGCTCATCTGTTTAGCTCTTTAAAATATCTCGATATCTGGAAAAGAAATATGATTTCATAGTATTCTCTTATCAATAATAGCTCAGACGCGTGTAACATCTATTCAATATGGAAAAGGCTTCATTTCTTTTTCTCGATATGCAACTATGTTGTTGCCCATAAATTTTCCTCAACTAGAGAGAGAGTGTGTGACGATAAGAACAGTTAATTTGATGTATCATTCATATGAAAAGTCGCCAAAACGCATTTTTCTCTTTCATATAATCTTTTTCAACCGATTGCATACACGTGGTCTTATTATCATTTCGGCCATGTATAAACTAAACTATACTATTCTCAGTTTTCGTCTCTGAACATAGATCAGATTATACGTCTTGGTGAGGTCTCTCTCTCTCATCGTAGAAGTACAGAAAAGTATTTCGATCGCCATGTCACTTAGATGTCTCTTAGTCACTTAATCTTGATACTAAATTTGATCAGAAATAAATAAAAGTATCGATGCATTAAATCTCAGAAGCTAAGTGTAGACAATAAAAAATAAAGTCATTTCACTACTTTATCTTAATGCAAATTTATATGTATTGAACTGTTACAAAACCTTTTTCTAAGTCAGTATTACATACAAAAGCTTCTCTTATGAGAATTTTCTGAAAACACTGGAAATGATATTAAGAGTGATTGAAGTTTCTTGAAACGTAATTCATAAAGAATTTCCGAGAGACAGATGATTTTCTTTAAAAAATTCTGCCAGATATCCACATCACCGAGTTATTTAGTGATGAAAAGCAGATTTAGCTCCGTAAAAATCTGATTTTATTTTATGGACACTTTTACATTAATTGTCAAACAATTAAATGAATTTTTGTAAACTTCTCTATTACATATGTGTTCTCAAAATCATTTATAAGGTCATGATCTATCGGGAAGTTGTTCAGATTATTCTGAATAAACGAAAAATTTTCCGAATCTTTTGCAGTTTTTTCTATAAATAGAGCAATGATAAAGGTATCTGAAAGATATTTACATAAAAGAATTATCTGATTACTGAACTATATATTGTACGAAACGAAAATAAACGAATTAATCATTTTTCTCTGAATACAAATTCATATTTGTCTGTCAGTTTGGTCCGACGTGAGCTGAGCAGCAGAACAGAAAAGGTATAGTATGGAATGAATTCTGATTGATTTAAAATACAAGGATAAGCTACATACTGTTTTGTATGGAGCGTGTGAATGTAACTTATCTCGACCCAAATAAGAATTGATCAATTGACTTGTTTCGTCGTATGATATTAACCAACGACAGATTTCATATAAAAATCAGTAAAGAGTTCGAATGACGATTTTCCATTGGTTGATATTCCGTCCAATGAGCGGAGAGAAAAGTGGTATTAACATATTTTGACAGTTTTAGAAAAGGTGACAGAATAAAAAATGTTTGATGTATCAACGTGTCGTCTCCCGTTGGAGAGAAGATGCAGGTATTTGTTTCAATTTCACTCATCTAAATGGATATTTTTGCAATTTTATCCTTTCTCTCTTTCTCTCTCTTTACGTACGTGAAAATGTGACTGTGATCAATGCTTTTCATTTAACACAAAACTTCCATTTGCTCCTATGGCAACGAAGTGCATTTTAACTTGAAACTTTTTTACATAGTTTAAGAAAATTAATCGTCGATCACTCTCGAAATGTGAAAATTATACACAAAATCAGTTGTTTTATACTCGAACAAGACACATCTCTCTAGACAGACGTTTTAGTGATCTTGCTTTATTTTGACACTCCATTTACAGTTTCTTTCGCTTTCACGTCATTCTTAATCAAAAGTATTTGATTTTATTCTTTCTTTCTTCTTTACATTTCTCTCAAACATTGTCGGTAAAACAAGTTTGAGAACGTCTTGGTATCGAAGATAAGACTTTTCTTTTGTTTCTGCAAATATAAACTATGAATCAACAAACAACTCTACCCGTGTAGGACGATTTCCTATTTCTTCTAAAAAACAGATCTCTCCTATATTTATTTATTAAGATTACCTCCTAACACAAGACCATTCTCATCGAGTTCACTAAATCGACCAACGTATGACATTCGAAAAGAATTCTCTGTATCGAGCGAAATCTTTTTGTTTAGTTCAGCTGTTTCTGTTCATCGGATTCAACAGAGCAGCACCAATTCCAATCAAATTTTCCCATCACATCGACCATTGAAGAAAATCAAGCCTGAACCATGGCAACGACTTTTTGATGTATGTAAATGAAATGATTGGATCAATCAGTAAGAAAATATTCACCATTTACATAGGGAGAAAAACGGCAAGTTTACAGTCAACAGGGATTAACTGTGAAAAAGAATAAGCAGAATGTTGATGCCATTCTAAACGATGATTTCTTCAATATTACCGATGAACCTATCAACTACGACGATAAAGCACAGTAAATAGTCGCTTTCTTGTTATCTTTTGACTTTTATGCGAATTAATCTAGACGGGCACTTCTTCCGCCACCGATTCAAGCTTATATCGATCATTTATGTGAACAAATTGATGATTTAGCTGTTCAATTAGCAGAGGATCGTATGAATAATCGAATAGCACGAAATAAAGTACCGAAATATTCTTTGTTTATCTTTCTCGAGCTTAAAATCATGTTTGTACCTAGGCGGATGAACTTCACAGTAATCAATTACAAAGTCAAAACAAACAATTTCAAGAGTTGCTTCATCATCAAATGCTTGAACGTGAAAAAGAACTTGAAGATCAGAATGCTGAACATTTAAAAGTGTTAGAAGAAGAAAAATTTGCCAATCATCAGCGTGAAGAACAGTTGAAGAATGAAATTGACTTTGTTAAAACTTCCTTCCATGCTTATAAAGTAAATCATCATCGTCGAATAAACAATTTTGTATTTTCTTTTTCTTTTCTTAGATCAATCTTGAGAAAGAAAACACTGAACAACTTCAAACAAAAATTAATGAGGCAATTGAAGGGTTAAAAAAGGAGTTAAAGTCGAAAGACGAACAAATGAATAAACGTATTAATGATGCAATTATGAAAGAACGAAAAAATTTCACATCAAGACAAAAAATGGAGATTGAAAATCTGAAAAAACAACATAAAAAAGAAGTTGATGTAATTTTATTGTTCAATTTCAAGATTGATGATAAAGATATCTTCATGTTTCAGGCAATTCAACAAACATTTACGGATTCTGCTTATGACCGTTCACGTGTAGAAACGCTAACAAAAGATTTAGTAGCAACGAGATTGGAACTTGAAGAAACGAAAGATAGAGCAGTTAACTTAGCAGTACGATTGAAAGAATTAGAAGTTCAACATGCTGAAACTGTACGAAGTGATATTCTGTTTTTCGGATTAGGAAATGTTTGATTTTGTTTAGAACCGAGAATTACACGATTTTCGAACGCGATTCGATGACAAAACCAAAGAAATTGAACGACGTTACATAGGAAAAATGGATCAAATACATATGGAAAACGCTGACCTACGAAGTCTCTACATGAAAAAATGTGCGGAACTTGTTGATGAACGAGCATTGACACAAAAGAAAATCGAAGAGCAAATTCAACTTACTCGAAAAGAATTCAAACAAGTAAATAAATGCTAAAACCATTTAACTTACCTCACCGTTTACATTTAGAAATTACTTAATATTCGTGTATCATCTGCAGTGTCATTGAATATCGATCGTAACGCACGTCGATTAAGTACATATGCAACTGGGACTCAAAACGATCTATCGTCAACACGTTGCCATTCAGCATATGCCTCGTCTCAACCAGTTTCATCTGCTCATATGAATCATACTAATGCAATGGATCTGACACTTAACAATACACGTCGAGAAACTAAAATGCGTCGCCGAACAAGTGTACCGACAACGGAAGAAGAACAAGACGTTGTTAAATATTTAACATCAAGACCACCGACACGTAGTTCATCGTCATCAAAATATAATTTTGAAAGTGAACCAACAATGCTTGACAATCTTAGTTTAGAAGATCTTCAGGAAACCTTCAAATCATAGTGATTGTTGTATATAGAAAGTTTTCCAAGGAAATACGAATTTGTTTTTTTTTAAATCTTATTTCGATTTATTTTTTTACAATATAGGAAAACTGAACGTATGCGAACGATTTTATGTTAGGTAACAAACTCATGTAATCTTGATAGAAAATACGAGACAATACAGTATAATGGTTAATCATATCTTACAGAAGGTACTCTATCGCTCGTCACTTCCATTCTTAGGAGTGAAACAGTTTTGAAAATATACCATTCGGAAACGCGCTGTTATTTTGTTCGACTTAAAACATCGACGCTGCAATTCATTTAGATTGGATTCTATGACTAGCATGTACTTATTCTATTCTATACTGGAAATAAAAGAATAAAGTATAGTGTAGAAGAAACAAAAAACACAAATGTATTACAACAGCTCAAAAAGACATAAAACGAAAAACTAATAATGATACCACAATTGATCTATCAACTCATATTATCTACCATTATCACGGCGGACAGACAATTCGTTGCCATGATAGTTTGTCGCATGAGTACTGTCTTGTCTAATTAATTAATTGTAACAAGATTGAAATAATGTACAGATAAAGAGAAGAAGAGATAAACACTCCTCAAGTGTCAATAGATCTGTAAACAATGTACGATATCTAATGAAACAGCCTCTCTAAAGACTACTAAAAATCTTGCACTTCAGAATACAATAGTATCAAAAAAGAGATTTTTAATGTAAAATGATTCGTATCAGAAATTACTGAAGCTTGGTAGTTTATTATGCCCAGGTCAACAAATTCGATCGGATTCCTGGAAACAGAATTGCATTGGAATCCAACGGGAAAAATTCAGTCGGTTATTGCAAATTTTACGAGCGATCGTTTTAGCTATCTGTATATATAAAGAAGAAAGTTTGTCTCTTTGTTCGCTATTTATTCAGTTCCTGTAATACCTATCGCCACCAAGCTTTCCACGATACTTCCCGAGGTTCGGAGGAAGGTCGGCATCCACTTTATCCCGGGAAAAAGTGAACTCACGCTTGCTACAGGCATTCTATGCAATTGACCAATATGATTACAGCATTTCAAAAACCATGAGTTGCCTAATTCCACTTATATTATAAATGCACATCCAAGGGACTGATATCAATTCGAATATAAATAGACGCCTATAGCTTTGAAAGTATAGGAATAGCTTTAGTTATAGTCAAACCCTCACCCTCAATCTATTCCTAAACTGTGGCATGAGTGTCAGAGAATCACTATAGCTGAGAGTGAGCGTGTGACTAAAACTAAATCTATTCCTATCTATATCTAGATCAGGTTTGGAGTGTATTAGGAATTCAGTACTTATATTATAAGTCGCATTAGGCAGCTACTCATTCTTTCAAGCTAAGAAATAACAAATTATTCGAGTATTTTGCTTGACGACGTCTATTTTTTTGGAAAAGTTGTAAAACTCCAACATCAGTTGAAGATAATGAATCGAAAACAAACGTGTCGAAATTATGTCTTTTGCCGCATTTAACTAGTTGGTTGTGCTGTAAATGTAAGTATCTTCCGCACACACGGTACAATCAAACTATTGTATTCTCATCGCTTCAATATTATAAAGTTTGTTATTTCGAATCAAGAAAGAACACAGTTATTTCTGAAGTTAAATAGTAAATTTAATTCAAACAAATATTTCTATATTCAATACTATATCCTTACTCATCTTCTTTCTAATCTATGAAATAAATTTGATAGAAAATACTAGGATAGTGATTAAAGAATATTTAAGAAATTTTATCAAAAATCAATACAATGAAAAACAAGTGACATACAGAAAACAGTGAAATAAAAAGCTTGAATAAACTGAATACTTTTAAAGTTCATTATTGATCTCTTTTTTCCACATCATTATCGACACGTTTATTATAGAAGTAGATGTGAACATTAAACAAATGAACAGCCTATACCAAAAGTGCCACCGGGTGCCTAAAATAAAAAAACCATTTCATCCAAAAGTAACCTTTGACATATACAAAAAGAAAATAATAACGTACGGCACAGCAGAACGGATGTTTATCTCCACAATCAGTACCTGCACTAAGAGCTATTATACAATTTCCAGCTGCAAAAGATAAATGAAATATTATAGTATCAGTTTGGTGAAGACAAAAGTTTGATTTTAATAGGTAGTTCTATATTCGATAAATGCAATTCTAGTAAGTGACAAAAAAACGATATACCTGCGTATCCATTCGTGAATGAACAACACATAGATAGTCCGAAAGCGCATCCTGGATGTTTATTATCACGACGAACTAGATGATGTAATTGAAATTTGTTATTTTGTAATGGTACCGCTTCGTTGAATTGAGCAGTAACAGCGAGAAGAATGAGAGTAATAGTAAATGAAAGAATTGTAAAAGATTGCATAATGTTGGTATTAAGTTCGAATCGTTGCTTATGTAGAAAGATTACAATATAAAATAATTTGTTCTACAATTTTTTATCCGCTTTTTATACCTATGCTCATTAGTTTATAGAACCAAAACAAAACCCAAAACTATAATCCTTTTGTTAGTAAAATAGTTTTTCATCGTCCTGAAACAAAGAATGGTTTTTTCCCCTGTCATTATATGCATATCATCATTCTATTTATATCGTATAAAGATAATTGTGTTTTGATCATCATTTATGATAAAAATACTATTTTATACTGTATGCTATGGTTAAAGAGTCTATAACTTTGTGTTGACAATATGAAAGAAAATTTCGCACTGAAAAACGATGAAATGATTTGTTTTTCTTCTGATTTGTAACTATTATTGTCGATTTTTCTTGTCTAACATGAGTGATGTCATAATATCATTACCCTGGGCATCCGTCTAAAAATCGCGAGCAGTATATCCAGAGCCCGGAGGAATTTGAATGAATTTGGCCGATACCGAGAGGGTAACGAGATGGAAGTTAAAATTCTGAAGATCTTTTGTCCACGTAATGGCCCTTTCCGCACACTCTCATGTTGTGATATGCGTATAGATCGGGTTTTTCCTCACACCTAGACCACCGAGGTGGTTTAGAAGTATGTAGTTTTGATTTCTAGTAACGAGATAGTCCGACCAAATTCCTCTCATCTCAGAAGATACAATATAGTTTGGTTATCCGGTATCGGGTAACGAGATCGGCTGATGAAGTCAATTTGGTTATCATCCTGGGTATCGAGACGTTCAGCTCTGGATACCCAGCGTTATGATATTATGACAGCTATGTCTATCATATCCCATGTCGAATCCGAAACATGAGTTTTCCGGATTTTCTAAGGGTCATCATAGAATATAACTAAAAGGATCGGTCATAAAATTTGCGATAACCGACTGAATTTTTCCAGTCGGATTCCAATGCAATTCCGTTTCCAGAAATCCGATCGGATTTGTTGGCCTGGGTATATGAAAGATACTCGTCGAATGTAACCTTTGACCAATAATGTGTTTTCTTTAATGATTCGTTGAGAACGGACAACTTTCAATGACAAATAAATGTGTTTGTTTAATCAGAATGATAATGAGTACATTGTATTCTTCAAAGAAACAGTTACTCTTTTCTCGCACAACTATGTACATCGGCGATATTTTCATTCACATTGCAGTTAAACCTTAGGAACATTTGACCAATCATTTAGAAAACTCTCCAGCCTTTTTAATTTTTAAAGAATAAAATCTTTTCGTCTCAGAATCACATGGGTTTTATCTCATATTATCACAAATGAAGACAATTTCTTTCAAGTGTGTAATACTTTTCAAAAATCTGAAGCTAATAAAAAGCGAAAGATATAGAAAAAGAATGGTCGTAAAAGTGATGTAAAACGCATATATCAGATTTAACATACGGTTCGCAATAGATATGTCATCCATTTGATTGTCAGATCTTATTAATTCAGTGACCAAACTAGAACACTGTAATCATAAACACCACGCCGGATAGTAATACCCAGTTATGATCGTACAATAGGATCGATCGAATCATTAAGATCACTTGTGAATGTTTTGTATCAATTCTAATCAAAAACAGACTTGTTAAATAGTTATCTGTTAACACCCAGGTAAAAAAATCCGATCGGAATCCTGGAAACGGAATTGCGTTGGAATCCGACTAGAAAAATCCCATCGGTTGTTGCAAATTTTATGAGCGATCGTTTTAGCTATATTCTCTGATGACCCTTAGAAAATCCATGTTTCGGATCCGACCTGGGCAGTTTTCCGTATCATGATAGAAGGCCAATCGTTTATGAAGATATTCTCTTTCATTCGATTACAAAGAAAATTTCATTTAAAATGACAGTCATGTTTTCCTTCGATATAAGCAGAAACGATCGAAATGTCTCTTATATCTTCTATCCCGTAACTACTACTGCAACCAGTTTCGCTGATCACAACTTACGTCTGATACGAACTAGACGTTTCAAATGGGTTTTTGCAAGATTCAAGTAGACATTTATTTGCCGTGAAATTCTCACTGAAATTTCTCTTATATCTTTTCGATTTCTTCGTCAAAAAATTGAATGTTTCCAATGCCTAACAAATGATCATGTCAACAACACGAAATCATCTTCACCAACGAAAAGATGAACGACTTATACTCTCTCAAATCTGTTTGTCAAGACATTCGTATATTTTGTTAAGAACAATTGCACGTCTCGAATAAATTTGTTTCAAAGAATTAATTATTAGTCGACGCCTGAGCACCAAAATGCGATAAATAAATGAGGAAATGCGCGTGTTAAGTTTCAGTATCCGTAAAGTCTGACTTCTGAGTGTTGAACAGCGTTTGTAGCGGCACATTTAGCAGTAATGAGAACTTGATAACTTGCATCCTGAATTGTACTACAGAAATATTGTATTCCACCACATGTTTGTCTGTAAAGAATTGTGCTAAGTCTAGTGATTCCACTATGGATTAGATTCCAACTGGCACCATCGGTAAGATTGGTGTACATCTCAAAACAAACCGATCATCATTATTCACATTTTACAAAAGCAGATAAAACACGATAATGGCCCACTGAAACTGGTAATGCGATTGGAATTGGCCGAGTCTGAACCAATGGTCACAATATTAAATCCACCAGTGATAAGAGAACTATACGTTGAACCATTTAAAATATACATTTGATTCGATTGTAATCTGTATTGAAATTCAAATTGAAATGCTGTATGATTAAGATCGTCATTTTCAATGGGAAGATTTTCGCAAGCAGTCAGTGATTCTGAATAATTCGTATATAGAAACGCATAACTATCTATTGCACTTGTATCTTTAAACTTGTATGTGCCGGAAATCGAAGTCGTTACTTTCATTGCTTCGTAATAAGATACATCTGCACTTGTCGATCGCACGTATGTAGAACTATTATTAGTCAATGAATCTTGGTAATATGCAACAACGCCGGTCACAAATGAAGTTCAGAGCTATGCCATAATATAAAATAAATAGCGATTCAAAGAAACAAACACCTCGATTGTACCGTGTGTTGATGATTCAATGTGCGATGATGAAGGAGCATGTTGGTAAGATAGGATCACGTATAAAACAACTATGATGGCAATTATTAAAGCACTTCCAATGGCAATTGATAAAATATTCCTTCGTAAAGATTAGATAAAATACTTGTTGAAATAAAAAACATATCGATAATTTTTGTACATACAACTCATCCATCCACAGAAAGGCTTTCTTAGTTCAAAATAAAAATATACTTTGGTTTTTCCTTAGAAAAACCAGTTATGAATACCGTTTCTATCTTGCGTTGGATGTGTCATACAGGCTGCAGTAAAAGTACACTTTCATGCGACTGAGCACATCTCAACAATTAATTTGATATTTTCCGTTGACATCATGATCATTCGAAATCTCGTCAACAACGTAATAATTGTTTTATTTAACTGTAATGTAATTGTTAGGCAGAAGTAATTACGCGAGTAAAGAGAAATTTTTCCTCTCGTTTTTTCCCCGATTCATACTCATTCGTTATGAAGAATGACATTGATCATTAAAAAGAAAAATATTGTTTCTATTTTCGTTCAAATCGATTGCAATTCAATATTCAATTGTTCAAGCTTTTTCAATCTATGACTTCGAGTAATAAAAAGACACTTTCGACTGGTTTCAATCTGATCATGTTTATATAAACTCGATGATAAAATTTCATAATAATAATCGTGCTGATTTTTTCGTTCCTTTGTTTCTCTTTCGTCAAACGAGAGAAAAAAATGCAAATGTACGTCCATAAATATAGATTTATTCAAGAAACGCAAAAGAGTGTATAAACGGCTGAATAATATTTTGAATAAAATCCATTTTGTGCCATTGAATTTTTGTCACAAGGTCTCCTCCACGTGTGATGAGGATATTATTTCAGACGTCAGTCGATTACGATGAATAAGCGTTTTATTTTCTTCTCAATTCGAGTTTTACGAAAGTAATTTCATCAAAGAGATTTTCTTGTCGAACACGAGACGCTTGTTTTTCTATTTGTTGTTGTTCGAAGACGACGAATTGAACTTTTGTCCGAGTTGACTTTTTCTACTGCTTGTTTATATGTCTGTGTATATGTGGAGGCGATAGAGTTAATCCGTACATATCATGGAGAAAAAAATTGAAGACGACGACGACGACGATGAAAAAGAAGAAAGAGAACGGCAACAGACACAAGAACATAATCGACGTTATCCTCATCTCTCATTGTCCAGTTGTACCAGTGTCGAAAATCAAGTAACCTTTCGTTATGTATTCTCTTCGTTAAATATTTTCTTTCAATAAAGATCAAAAAACCCTATCGGTATCAACAAGTGATCATCGATAATGAACATCGTTATCCTCCGATTATCCTTCCGTCTGAACGTATATTATTTCAAATGAATCCTTCAACATTATCACAATACACATCCAATCCATCGTTGACAAACACTTATCATAGTTTACAAATTCATGATGAACCGAAATCTCTTTCACCGTTGCAACTAAAAACAAATAAATTACATCATGCGAAATCTCATCATGAACTTTATCAACAAAACAATGGATTATCGTTATCACCAATAAGAAAAGTGAATAATCATGAAAATGATAATAGATATTCGACTGATTCACCCCAATCAGTTATGTCATTACGAATTCCTGTAACGACAAGTACATCGCCGACAAAGAGTAATTTGAATGTAACACAACCATCTCCAGCACATAAAATTCCATTGTGGAAACGTTTCAAGAAGATGATTGTACCGAAAAAACGAAAAAATCCATCGTCAAAAATGCCAACATTGTTTCTCAATGAAATTTCTGAAAATGAACCAAGTACAAGCGAATTCTTTTCTCGTAATCTAAACGTAAAATCTTTTCTTTTAGATCAAACTGTCACAGACAACGTCAATTTCGATCTCTTACGAAATCCTTTGAAATTATCCGAACTAAAAACATGGATTAATCCCGAACTATTTCCCGAACAACAAATTCGTAATGAATACGAAGTATGACTTTCCAAAACTAATTCATTTCTCTGTATTAACTTCATTTCTCTCTCTCTCTCTCTCTCAGAAACTTCCAACCGAACCTCTTCATCCAAAAACAGTAGCTCTTCGTCCAGAAAATAAAATGAAAAATCGATTCAATTGTATTGAACCATGTGCGTATTCCCATCGAATTTCACAAATTAAAATCAAAATTGTCATTTGTAGATGATCATTCTCGAGTTATTCTTCGAACATTACCTCATGATTCAACAAGCGACTATATCAATGCATCGTATATCGATGGATATCGAACAAAGAAGGCTTATATTGCTTCTCAAGGTTCATTGAATTGTTAATATATTAAAAACTAGAATGTGATTTCTTCTAGCACCGACGGATACAACATTGTATGATTTCATTCGAATGATTTGGCAATTTCGTATCGAATCAATAGTAATGGTTACACGATTGTTTGAAGATGGAAAAGTAGAAATAAAATAAAACGATTAGTTGACCTTATTGAATTGATTTTCGTTCGCGTTTTCAGCATAAATGTTTACAATATTGGCCTGATGAAGGTGAAAAACAAATTAACAATTTTACGATTCGTTTTGAAAACGAAGAAAGATACACTTATTACACAATACGTCGATTTGTTTTATTAAACCCAATTGAAGTAGAATAAAAAGGACATTTTATGTTTATCTCTTTGTTTTCCTTTGATTTAGTCATCGGAAACTTTAACAATCAAACAATTCCATTTCTTATCTTGGCCAGGTAAACTGATAAATATTGATTTTGCGCTTCTCGAACTTAAAATTTTCTTCAGATCATGATGGATTGACATTACCTACACCATTGCTGGATTTTCGGCAACGATTTCGTAATAATTGCAAGATATCTACAAGTCCAATTTTAGTGCATTGCAGGTAATAAACAAAAGAAATAAATTGAGATTAAATATTACCTTGGAAATCGTTTAGTGCTGGTGTTGGTCGTTCAGGGACATTTATTGCTTTAGATGCTTTATTGGAAATGTCGACATATCAAGATACAATCGATATACTTGAATTTACTCATCGAATGAGGTAAAACGAAGAAGGTTTGTCAAGGGAAATATTTTGAAATCTTTCTATTTAGGCAAAATCGTGTCTATATGATCCAAACTGTTGGTCAATATGTATTTTTATATCGCGCATTGGTTGAAGGCATTTTAACATTGAATGCATCTATATCATTACCAGAATTTATGACAACGAGAAGAGTTCATATGGACATCAAAGATCAATATCGAGTAAGACAATAGAGAAGAGAGAAACAACGATTTTCATTTTATGTTGGCAGTTATTAGAACAATTGCAAGCAACAGTCGAATTTTCGTATCATACTGCACGTGATCCGCTCAATATCGATAAAAATCGTGTAGAATCAATATTAGCTGGTAAAGCGACTTTCAGATTCGCGATAAACATCGATATCATTTGATTTAGCTGATAATAATCGACCTTATCTGATGACACAAGTGGAAAAGACGACAGATTATATCAACGCAGTATTTGTAAATGTAAGAGACGTTTAAACATTTCCAAAAGGACGAACTTGATTGTTTTTCAGTCTTACCGTCATGTGTCCACATACATTGTTACACAATATCCATTACCACAAACAATGGTTGACTTTTATCGTCTTATTTTTGATCATAATATCTCCATAGTCATGCTCATTGAAACAATACCTCTGGATCCGGTAGGAATCAGACAGAGATTTTGTTTTCTTTTTATCATTGAATGTTTTCCTTGTAGCAAAATCTTCCATACTGGCCAAGTGCTGTTTCTGAAAATGTTTCCTTTGGACCGTTTGAAATCTTATTATCCTCACAAAAAGAAGATGATTACCTTATCGAACGAGTACTTCAAATAAAGTACACAAGTAAAAGTATATTCGTATGTTATTCGCATTGAATAATATCATTTTTGAAAATAACACTCGTCTTCGTTTGTCTTTGATAGACTAGTGATCAAACGAAAACAATTCGTCAGTTTGAAGTAAAGAATAATACGCGTTTACTACCCGTTGTCAAACGATTTTTGAAAGAAATGCGAACGCGTCCAGAACAGAATGTTATCTTACAATGTTTGTAAGTGAAAAAACTCGTCTGTCGTTTGTTTATTTGAAATTTTCGTTTGAAGAAACGGTGTGACATGGTCGGGGTACTTTGTTGCTTTGTGTAATTCAATTGATAAGATGCAAACAGAACAAATCATCGATCCATTTCAAATCGTTCGTTTGATTCGTGCCAGTCGTCAAGAATTTATCGATCAAGTAAGTTTCAGTCGGTCTCGTCGAGAATTTCTACGATTGAATGATGTTTTTAGAATCAATATGAGAACTTATTTGTATCAATGATTAATTATGCTCAAGAATATTTATCTTTTGGTGCAACATCAAATCATGCAGTGGAAAATTCTGTTTATATGAACACTTCAGAGAAAAATCGATCATTTGCCAATAAATAAACGAAAAAAGAAAAACAAAATCGATTTATGATGTACTCGGTGATATTGTTTTTGAAATGAGAAAATAAATATAAAAGTTTTCTGGATAAGATTACCTTGAACATGAAAGGAACTTGATAATAGTATAGAATTTTTATTTTGTAAATTAACAAATTAGAATGGAAAACGAATTTAATTTTTAAAACGAAGTAACTGATCGTACACGATTGATCAATGTTTTCACACTTTCATATCGATGTTGTAACCATTGAATATCATGAATACGTTCACGAATCTTTCGTCGAATGACCAGATACATCGTAATCGAGTTTCCTAAGAATAAAGTGAAAAATATTGCCGATAGAACCTTCAACATAAACTGCCAATCAGGATTCGGTTCACTTTTTGGATCCATTGAAATCTTAAAGAGAAGATATGCATTGTATAACTCGAACATATATCCAATGACGAGAAATGGTGCAAGAAATGAAAGACCACGGAGCATCCACGATTGAAATCCTCCAATAGAGATTTGCAATTCATCGGAATCTCCCAATGCTCGTAAACGATAAAGAAGACCTCGTTGATAATAATATAAAAGTACTTGTACACAAGTCATGTATAGATTGAATAGATAATGTTGTTGCCGAAAGATTTTATAGGATTTAGCTGCTGGCCAAATCAAAACAATACATGTTAAAGCTGTCGAAATAAAATGGTGTAAACGCCACCAGAATTGTATTTTTGAACCATTAACAACCAGGATTGACTCGCGAATTGTTAATGTACAATAATACCAAACTAGCAGAAAATGGTAAAGAGCGTCTAATGCACGATTCACTGGCATTATCGTAGTCATCAGGAATGATAGAATCATAAGAATCAAAGTTACACGTAATTTGAATTGTTCATAACTTTCTTTGTATTTCAACTGTTCAGATTTATCCAAAATCGAAACCGGTAGTTGACTTCCAAGAATAATACGTAGGTAAATCTCGGGTGGTTGTGGTAATGTGTATTGAATTCGTTTTAAATAATCCGATCGTTGTTTAATTAGATGTTCACGAATTGTACTTAAACGAATAAGACGTTCTTCGGGTGTTTCTTTTGTCCTTTCACTCTCACGACGAATGCGTAACAAATCAGATTTATCCAATTGCTTGCCGTTATCGGCCACAACGATTAACGATTGATGCACGTCGATGGCTTCATTTAGACGTTGAATCTTTTTTTCGAGTTTATTAAATTCAAGTCGATGTTCCTTTTTGAGTTTTTCAACTGTTTCTAATTGAGTTAGATATTTCTGATGTTCCTGTTCGAATGTACTGATTTCATTGGATAAGTCTTCCCATTGTCGAATGAGATCCTGTACTTCAGCATCGAATGCACTGTTGGATATTGTCGAGCACTTTTTACGTCGTTTTATTGTTTTTTCAGGCTCGAGCTGATTGTCAGTCGCCATGTTGTACTTTATAGTAGCAGAAAGAAACAAAGAAAGAAAAACAATGTACGATGTAACCTTCGATAATAACTTGACGTGTTATCTTCATAGATTAAAAAGGAGAAAAAAAGCCAAGTCTTTCGATTTCAACTTCAATAAAAAGAAACAAAGCCTACAGACGCATTTGTTCTATGACAGACAGCTAACTTCATGGCTCGGTTTTATCTTTTCAATGAGTACAAGGGTCATCTATAGAAAAAGTAGTGTGGGAACACGAAAGATCAATTTTATAGTAATGTAATAAAACACTAACAGTATTTATATTTGAATTTGCGACAATAATATCGATTTTATGATTGGAATTCACATTGGCCAGGGTTACTGATCTTAGATTAATACCAACGAAATATGTTGTGCGAGTGGAAGACGTTCCATCGCCTCTGTTCAGCAGAATGCCAATATTTTGTGAGCCAGAATTTGCAACGACGATATCAATCGTACCGTCACAATTAACATCGCCGATTGTAAAGTGACTATATCAGGTTTGCTATCGTTGTACCGACTGAATAACCAATTTGAGGAAGAAAGGCAGAATTTCCTTTGCTAAGAAGAACGCCGAACATTGTTTGAAACCAGATTTGTTGTAACTATATCATCATTGTGAAGATCAGTCGCAATTACATATAGTGGAGTGTCAACAACGGAATAAGTAACTTGAGAATAAAGTGAGCCATTACATTTGTTAAGGAGAATACTAACATTATTTGAAAGAGAATTTGTAATAACAACATCAAGTTTATGGCCATTGTTCATATCTGCGACGGATACGGAATATGCACGACTTTCAACTCTATAGTTTGATTAAGAAAAAAAAGTTCAGTTTCCTTTATTGAGAAGAACACCCACAGAATCTGAACCGTGATTGACAACAATAAGATCAATTTTACTATCATTGTTCAAATCATTAGTCACGACTAGATATGGATTAGCGCCAACAGCATACGTATTTTCAGATTTGAAAGTTCCATTCTCTAAGTTTAATAGAATACCAACAGTGCCCGACGACAATATCGAGTTTATTATCTTGATTTACATCTGTCACAGTTACTGACACAGGATTGGTTCCAACTGAATAAGCTGTTTCATTGTAAAACATGCTGATACAATCTAAGAAATACAATTATCTATATTAGTCGATGGTGTGCTACCAGTTTAAAAGTAAAACAATTCATGAAAACTCGTTATTCTTGACAGAAATCGATTTTTTAATCCTATAGAGTATATCGCAACTACAACAATTTATGTGCAACATTCAGTGTCTCGTTTCTTAGATTATGTTCACACATTACTTACTAACTATGAATGTTGAGGATAATGAAGATGCTGGTGATGACGTGGTATTTACAAGTAAAACTGTGGATATCGTTGTAGCGACTGATAGCATCGACACTAATGTAGAAAATAATAAGCAACATAAAGATAACCATGGTAGTATATCTATCAAAAAAAAGTACTGTTCTTTCAAAAGCATAAATAATGCTAGAGCAATTGAACAGACCGTAAATTACAATTCTCTCCTCGATAACTTTTCCCTATCAGTAACTGGCGGTACAAAAACTTGTGTGGTACTAAGAACCTAACTATATTCATTTTTTGCAGATGAATTCGTAGAAATTTGTTGAGTAACATGACATTCTATTTTTACTAACATCTTGGAATTCGAATTCCGTCCACGACAACCATAAGAACAATGTCCGTATCAACAAATATCGTCTCATTTGCGTTCGGTTTGTAGGCAAACAGCATACAGTTGAAAAATAGTTGATGAAAACTGATGGCCTTACATTGAGTTTGAATTAAACAATTGATTTGACACTCCAGAACATCGAATACGATTACTGTTGAAAAAGGTAAACAATTACAAACTGGTAATGAGAATAAGTTGTATAACAACAAGGTAATCAGTAATATACTCTCTCATGTTCTTGTTTTTCTCTTAAAAACCGTATACTTAGAAGTTCCATTTTGCAATTAATTCTAGATTCTGTAGCGCATGAAAAAGAAACTAATCTAAGGAAATATAGCTATTTATATATTATCAATTCTTCATCGTTATTATATAAATGGCTGTTGAATATATTGAACATCTCGACACGAAATGTTTTTACTGACTGAAAAACGGTTTTGTCACGATGATATTAAAATAGGATAGAAGTTTCGTCTCAAATAAGTTCAGTGATTAAATGTCATGACTTCCCAAAAATAAAACCCGAATCAGAAGTTAATTTTGAAAAAACTGTTTTATATTTTGTTCGTCGTTTCCTTTCAATTGAAAATAATAAACTCAAGAGACAAAATGAATAAGACATTGTTCATTGAAATGCCCCATTTGTTCGATAGAATGATTCTTCAATGAATTTTCCTCGTGCATGAATTGGAGTTTGATATTGATGAGCATTTTCATCTAATTTCCATCCATATTCCATCGAACTTGAAATAGGATATTGATATTTTTGATCGGGTGCAACCTCTTGACGTACTTTTAAATATCTAAAACGACCTTTATCTTCTGCTGAAAATCCATCATAAAGAAGATGTTGATGTTCTTTTTTCACTGGATACATTTCTTTCAGAATATCTGGGTTATGTTCAACATCGAGCTTTTCTCGTAATTGATTTACTGTAACGCTGGAATCATAGCGACGTTTAGGTTTCGGAGGTAGAACAATTGTTGGTAGAGTTTGGGCAACAGGTTTCGATGTGGCTTGAGTGTAAAAGGCACGTTTAAACCATTCATCTTCGTTTGAAGTTGCTTGAAATTTTCGATGCCATGAGATACGAGTGACAGATTCTTTTTCAATCAGTTCTTTCCAAGCATTTTGTGAGCGTGTATCAAAATTCATTCGCGTCATTCTTATTAAAAAACGTCTGACAATAAGAACGAGAGAAAGAGAAGTTCTTATCTCTATAATTTTTATATCAAATACATCTGTATGTAGCAAACAATCACCATGGAGATGAAAGAGAACGACGTTATATAAAATCGCACAACAATGATAAAACTGTATTTTCATCTTAATTGAAAATATACACGACTTTTATGAGATGCATTGATGTTCTTTATTTTATTGCATACGAAAACAGTATTGTAACAGAAAAATAAATAATTCTGTTCAAAGCCATTCAGTAACCTGGAATGTCATCGAGAGTTGGACATCTACAGCGGCATTCAGTTCCACGACGTTGATAATACGAATCTTGAGTGGCTTTCTTGCATGCAGCTACACACTTGGATGAGAAAGTCGAGAATGGTTCGGTCTTAAGAAGATGAAAGAAAAAATAGATTTAGACTCGTTGGTCGATGCCCATAATGCAATATTTACCGAAGAACCAACATATTCCACAGCTTTACGGTCTGCACTAGCAGTGTATTTACTATCGCACATGCAACTTGGCAATGCCATTGTCTTACGTTTAAAAAAGTCTTGACAGTACTCGAGATCAGAGCCTGTAAAAGATGCGCAAACTTTTTCCATAGGACAATTAGCCAAGTACAATTGGACCGTGCATGCAGCTAATATGATAATAATGGGTAATATGCACGATGATTGCATTTTTCACTTTAGAGATAATATTCACTATGAAGATACTCTATGGTACGGATATATATACATGATGCCAGAACGATCTTTGAGTAACATCTGTTTTTCAGTTCTATTTCATATTAATGCAAGTGATTTCTATTTTGTTATTCATTGTAAATAGCTATTTGGTGAATAATCGAAGCTTTGAAACAGCTGTTACACTTGTGATATGCTTAAAAAGTGTAATGATTAGTCACGTTTTTAAATTATAGTTTCAAATTTGCTCGTAAGAATGTTTTGATTGTTTCGAATTGAATTCCTATCGATGGAATGTCTCAAATATGAAAGCAATTCAGACGTGTACATTATTCACACCCTTGTGAAAAGCAAAATACATAAAAAAGTCATGAATGAATGATCTTTACTCGCATTTCAATCATCGTTTCTTCTCTCAGCTTTCATAATTGAAGAAAAGAGAAAAGCTGTGACATATATTTCACATTGATAAGTTTTTATTGCATCATCAGAAGAATGATTCTGCCATTCGCGCTGGCTATATAAGAAGAAATCATCTTTTTTTTTATATACATATTCAATTCGTCATGGAACAATCTCATGGTTACAAGCGTTTTCTTTTATCAATGAATACGAGCCATTGTTATACAAGTACTCCACAACGACAGAAAAGTCGACGCGATCATCGTCGTTATTCGTCGAAACCAACCGTTCATATAAACCGTGTTACGGTTATTCAACAGGGAACATCGTGTCAGTGTAAAAAACGGAAATTAGAAGACATGTTTGATTTTTTTTGAGTCTTCTCGTCGTGATTGGTTAATTTCAAACGCAAGCAAATGATTTTTAACAAGCTGAGAAAGGCACCGTGTACACATGAAATTACAAAACTTTTGGTCATTTTTCTACAGAATCCACTTTTGATGAATTAAAATTATCTTGTAATAAAGAATAAAGACTAATGAGGCTTTCACGCGAATTACCCGCTAATGATGACGATGATGGAGGTTGAGTCAGATTTGTTCGAGAAGAATTTTCTGTGGAATATGAGCCAATTGTTGTTAAAACATCTGGTCCAACTCGATGAAACTGTCGACGACGTCGACGACGAATATATGAGCAAGCGCCAGTTCGAATTCGATTGATAATAATCGGAGTTACCGGCGTTGGGGTTATTCTTAATTTACGAATATGTACTTCTAACAAACTATTTGCCAATTGACAAAGTCGATCAACTTTTATATCTAAGCCATCGACCTAAAGAGACGATAAGAACCAAACTTTCTCTTAAATACAGTTACACATACTTGTCTCTCAATTTTACATATCCGTGTTGCTAAACTCGGTCCTGATTCGTAGCTATCAACTGATTTCGGCGTTCCTAAGACTTTATCCAATCTGAAAAGTAGAAGTTATCTTTGGCAAGAAAAAGTGGAAATGATTATTCTAGTACCTTCCTTGGATATATTTCATTCTAGCAAGCATATCCACATTTCCTGTTGAATATTGTTCAATCACATCGGTCACATCGTAGGGTCGTAAAGCTTCTCGAAATTTTCTTCTTGCAACGAAATATTTGACTTTCCGAGTAAATCGAATAGCATGTCGATGAACAGGTGTTAACGATTTCACATCATTTGCATAGTATGAATGATCATCATCATTATCTGCAATCAAACAAACATCTATTTCGCAATAGATCAAGAAGAATCTTTCTTACCTGATGATGATCCTTCGGGTGGGAAAAGAATACTTGCAGGTGGTGACATACTCGCTGTTTCGGAAAGTGTGTCAATACACGAGCGCATAACTGCGACTGTCGCACTTGGAGTAATTTTTAAATTGGGGGATTTCGGTGATATTGTATGTGTGTCACGTGACGGTGTACGTCGGCGAAAGCTAACTCGATTTAAAAATGATTGATTACTCCGTAGTTTCGATGCCCTATGGAAAAATAATGATCCGGTTTGATGTGTAGAGAAGCGAAAAAACTTACGCTGAGTGATGATGATTCATATGTGATGATAGAGACGTATCTGTATTTTCTCGTGCGGGTCTGACATGAACTTTCCAAGTTGCTTTAGAGAGAGATTTTTCATCAGCAGCATAAACACGCCAGAGATTTTGTATTAACAAAACTGCTGGAATTTTTCGTCTTTTGTAATGTTTCTGTCGTTGTTGTTGTTGAACTTTCAACGCAAAACCTGAACCTAAAATGCCCTAGATAATCAAATAGAAGAAAGAATAATTTGTTACTGGCTATAAAGCAAAGAAGAATTTACAGCTGGTAATGCAAAAAAGCTGATTCCGATAAACGAGCAAATCGCAGCGATTAATTTTCCAATGTACGACGAGGGAACTTTGTCACCATATCCAACCTAGGAGAAAATTTTTGTGTTTAAACATTTATTTGAATAAAACGATGTTACCGTGCATAGTGTGATCTAAAGAAAAAAGCAAAGATAAATTTGAAATGAAAGAATTTAGTATAAACATACAATGCCCCACCATAAGGCATCAGCGAATGTTTCGAATTTGTGTCGATCTGCGTCGATTAAATGACTCAGTGATTGCGCGGACATAATTGTAGTAAGATTGGTGATTAAAGTTTGATTTTGTTCATGTATGTTATCTTTTTCAACGAGAAACATCACAAACGAAGAAAAGATTAGAACTAAAAAGCCAATATAGATGGTTGTGATCAATTCCTAAAAGTGAAAACTTCAATTTTATCCTCTCATCTTATCACGAAAACGAACCTGTCGATGTGCGTAAACGACGGAACCTAACAACTTCCAAGTTCCTGCTCGACGATCCATTCTTAACATGCGTAAAATTTGAAAAAATCTTAAACCACGTAAAGCCGAAGCAGCAAAAACACCATTCCCACTACGGATATTCAAACAAAGTGTCAAAACTGTCGCCAGAATCATAATGAAATCTAAACAAAAAACAAAAACACATTCCTTGTAAATTTTCTTTCGCAATCGCTCACCAAGTGCGCAAAATGGTTTTCTCATAAAACGTAAACGACCCATTAATGTCTGATATCGTGAACGACAACCAGCACTCCATACTCGTAAGGATAATTCAACTGAAAGCCATATAAATACTATAATTTCCTAGAAAAATCATTGAAAAAAAGTGAATTTGAATTCACACATAGAATCAACAGAAATCTTACACTAGGTAATAACACAGTTGTTGCTATTTTTTCATACTCTGGCATTGTAACAACCACAGACAAAAATAAACATACGAAAACAGTGATAAATCTATCAACAGAAAAACACTTTATAGTTATTTATTGATTATTAGAACATGCTGACCTAAGTAATATAACCTGATTTTCATGCGTACAAACGTTTTTCTCATTAGGGAGTCCAATTTCAAATGAAAGACCTTGAATCTTTTAAAAATCATAAAATATTCTAATTTCCGCATCTTTATTCTCTTCTTCAAGAACAAAATTATCCTCATTAGATGTTCATACGTTTCCATTCTATTTTCAATTCATCTCCAAAGAACAAACTGATTTTTTTAATATCAAAGACAAAGACTGATAACATCTACCATCCAATTCCGATCTTTTCATTCAGTTCCAGTCCTCTCGCGAACATGAACATGCTTTTCTATTCTCATTAAAGCATGCGAAGAAGAACAAACAGTATAAACATCAATGACTTGCAAACTTTATTACGTCTTTATCTTTCTACGCATATTCTCATTATCAACTGTGTACTGAAAGCGATCAAATCTCTTCAAGTAATCAAATTACGTATGATTTTGCTTTTCCGAATAGTTTATTATTGGAAAACATGGAGAGATTCTCTTCCTACCTTGTCATAAAAGTGCACGAAGGTAAATTTTGAGACAAATGACTTACACAAACGTATGATAAATAATAGCTTTGTAACCATGTGCTCGTTCTAAGAAATTATAAACAATTAACTGAGCACGACGATAATTGGCCGAGCGTTTCTGTGCTGAATGGAAAATCAACGGTTTTCCCAGAAGAGAAACACGTTTTTCAAGTAATAAACGGCTATCGTTAGCCGACAAGCCAAGTAATGGTCGATATTTCAAAGGAGAGACATATACCGGACGAAAATCAGATGTGGTCTCTGTAGTTGTTGTTGTTTGAAGATCTTGTTTCATGTTTAAAAACGTAACCGAATGACGTGGTTCAATTTTCGGTGATGGATGGAAATTTGAATGAATAATGACGGGACCCTCTTCAGCAAATTTCACCGACGGATGAGAAGTCGCCGAGAGATTATGTTTCTTATTCGATTTTGTGAGTTGACTCGAGAGAACAAATGAGGAATCGTGTACTGTTTGGAAAGATTGACTTTTCTGCTGCTGCTGCTGTTGATTAGAAGAAGAAAAAAAGATGTGCGATTATATTGTTCAAAGTTTTTACCTTTCTTCCTTTTTTTTCTCGGCTCACCGTATTAGCATTATTAGTTTTTCCTTGTTCTTCTTCTTCTTCTTCTTCTTCTTCGTCTCCGGTGTAATCGGAATCTTTCTCGTCATTATCGTTCTCATTTATTGGTATTGATATTTGCTGAACATTGTCAGATACATTTATTGGTACATCTTTCACAATATGTTTCCGTAATATTGAACGAAGAACTGGTGGTGGTGAAGTTTCAGCATGATGATTTTCGATAATTATTGGCACAACATTCGATTCTTCATAACCATCATCATCATCATCTTCTTCTTCTTTCTCTTCATTATCATCAGTTTTATCATTGTGGTTTGTTAATATCGACATATTGTCTATGACTTGATTAGATTTATATTCATCCGAATACGTTTTGAAGTAAGATGACATTACCAAAAGATAAAATAATCATAATGATTAGAAAATACTCGTCACAAAATGATCATCTAAAACAAATATTGAACAAACATGTCTTTAACATTGCTGATTTATATGTAGGAAATATCTGACGTCAATTCATGGTAAATCATTAACATACTCGATAGATTTGCACTCCAGTGAAATCAGCATTTTCTAATCGATTAAAACAAAAGAAACACGCACAGAGTAACTATGTCTGATGCCTAATCGATATATCTCGATGTGAAATGAGGCGAGATAAAGATCAACAAAACGATCGTTATACTGATAAGTATGTTTCTTCTTCTTCTCCCCCTTTAGCTTCCTTTTGTATCTCGAAATATGTTTAGATCATAATGGCATCTTCAAGAGCACTCGTTCACTTCTTATCGAGCAGAAATTGAGATGTAGGAAAGTTTAGTAATGCGTAAACGATATACACAAGCACTCTATTCATTTACTCGTTTTTCTTGCTCACTAGAGACGTGTTTTTTCTTCACGATGAATTTGCTTTTCCTATTTTCGAGTCTTTTTCTTACCCATCATCTTTCTCAATAATCATATTTGATTATTTTGTCGATATTCTGTGTCAGTTTTTCCTTGCACGATCGAAAATAATGTATGGATGGATTGATCTTATATCTATTTCTGATAAAAATACTTCTTACAGTTCAATAATACATTAACGGATATGAGAAAACACTTTAGGGAATATGAGAAATGCTATCGATGAACATACTCAGCAGAATATAAGACGAACTTTGTGTTCTCCTACAATACAATTATTAATTTCTGTTTCGTAGTCAATTTTAAATAAAATCTCTGTGATTCGCCTCTTTTCGCTATTGGAGAAAGTTGTTTATAACCATGTGTACTGAAAAGAATCTTCTCAAGGATTAACTTACACTTCGTTTTACAATTTCCAGACGGGAAAATAGCAAAGCAATGTTTGTGGATATTCTCCTTAAGCTCATTTTTCACACGGGTATATGAGAATATGTTAAAGCATATGGATGTATTCTTTTTTTCTCTTTCTTTTTGTTTGTCTGTAGTAATCGAATAGAAAGGGAAAGAAATTAGGCCGCTTTTTATTATAGAACAATCGAATGATTATGCATTGCTGCTATTTTCATTGAAATTTCTGCTGAAAACATCGATGACAATATGTTGTTGTTGAATAATTTTTGATTTCGATTAATTATATTGGAGAAGGTTCGCGAACAAATGATCATCGCAACTAATTTTCATATTTATCTAATCATTTGTTCAGATCGCATCCGATCGTGACAGTTCGTATTACGAATTATTTCATATATCTTTCATTTATTTATCAATAAAAACATCTTTTCGATATCAACGTCATGTTTAATTATCTGATGGTTGAATTTGATTATTCAAGGTCGAATCTTACGAATGTACGATGATTTCATAATCGATAGGAATACTCTCAGAAATGAAAAAGTACAATTTCATTGATGTGTCAATTCTCCCTTAAGAGAAATCTCTTTGAATATGTTGAAATTTCTTTTTCTAATTAACAATCAAGTCTCATTTTCGAATGACATTGAATTCAAACGAAATAATCATTCTCTCTAGAAGCAAAACATGGCAATCTTGCATTTGATTTTTCTCCTTGACTATGATTTATTGTAATTAACATAATTACATTAAGAGCATCTAAAAAGCGTCATTATCAACATATCGTGTGTATCAACACGTAAGAAATATTTAGTCAATCGTCTTTAATTTTGCATTTTATCGATGTATTATTAATGCATAGATGGGTTGAATGAATGTTTATTCTTTTTTTTTCTTTTCTTTATATTTGACTACCTCTCCGAGGTCTTCTTATTACAATATTGCCGATGATAATATTATGACGAATATTTTATTTTGGTCATGCTTGATTGCCTTCGTTCGGTTTGTCTTCTTACCTGCGCATCACTTCGCTAACCACTTTCAGCGGTAGACCTTTGCTGTTCGCGTTGTACGTTGAAGTAAAAACAATCACGCAAACGTATATTACTTTTCTACATCTTCTTCACAAGAAAAAATGAGGTAAACATATTGTGTAAATTGTGTATAAAAAAAGAATTCTATTTTTATTTGAAAATCTTCATTTCAATCAATACAATAGCAAATCAAAGTAATTATAATCGAAATTATTGATTTATAAAAGACAAAAAAAAAACTGTATACGAATGCATTTGCTTTTAGTTCTCACAATAATCTTCGATCACCACGCAATCCAAAAGAACCTACTCGGGAACGAGAATCTCATAAAGATAGTCGTGAACGAAAAACAGGATCACAACATCCAGCAGCCTCAACGTCATCCGCAAGCAATGGCACTTCATCGACAACCGATCGGGCATTTAAAGAAAAACATCATCCACTATTAATTGCCATTTGGAACACCGATCGAACGCAAACAAATATCGATGAAAAACTCAAAGGTCTTCGCGATTTATTCAAAAAAGGCACAAGTATTCATCCTAAGAAAGACATTCTTCATTATCCTTACATATCATTCTCTTTTGCCATTCAGATCCAAGTGTGAATTGTGAAATTCTTCATGAACAAACTGGCACACCGATCGCACAGGTATCACCATTGATTATCGCTTGTTTCGAAGGTGATATTGACATCATCAAATTATTTATTGAAGTAAGAAGAATGAAATGTGTATGTAAAGTTCCTTTTTTGTTCTATTTCAAAGCATGGTGCTGATCCAAATCAAACAGAAAGTGAACATCATTTGACACCGATTCATGTCCTGTGTGATGCAGAATATCACGGACAAAGTTTACGAGTAAAATAAGAATAAAAATCTTTTCGAAACATCTTATTTCATTGGGTTTTTTCTTCTATCATTTAGCAAAAAGATCGAGCAGAACTCATTCGTTTGTTAGTTAAACATGGTGCTCAAGTTAATCATTTAGATCGAAGTTCCATGGCACCGATTCATAAGTAAAAACAACAAATGTTTGTTTTATAAGCACAAGTTTGTTTTGCATTCTAGAGCGGTTATTCACGATCGCCCTGAATGTGTCGAAGCATTGATGGATTCACGCGCTGATCCAAATGTTGCATTTATGGGTGACACACCATTAAGTATTGCTGCTCGACATAACCGAAAAAGAATCGTTCAGTATGGATGAAAACTTCTCTTGAATAATTCACGTCGTTTGTTTTTTCTTTAGAATTTTACTCAGTCATAAAGAAACAAACGTGAATCATCGTAATGATCAAGGTGGTACTGCATTACACTTTGCCAGTGCTGGTGAGTTCGGATAAACAACTTCGAAAATAAATCGTCATGAATTGTTCTTTAGGCATTGTCGATAGTCCGGAATGTGTTGAAGTTTTGTTACAACATGGTGCGAAAATCAATGCTCATGATTTGAAGAATAATACGGCTGCTATGGTTGCTTGTTTCTTTAACAAACCAAGAATTTTAACAACCTTACTTCGACATGGTGCTGATCCTACACCTCGAAACAATGAAGGTGAGAAAGAAAAGACAAAATTTACATTTCATCATTTATTTTCACTTGTAGGAAAAGACGCATATGATGTAGCTGTAGAGAAAGAATTTGATGAATGCAAAGATCTGATTGCTAAAGCACTGGAAAAACGTGGTATTAAGCCAGGAGTTAAACCACATCATTCAACAACAGCGACTGATAAAGTATCGGAAGATGTCGAGAAATTAAAACTTAAACGTTAAGAACAAGAGACAAGTCAATACTTTTAATAATCAATTCAAACCAACAAAAACAACAATAGAATACTTATCAGTCAGAAATATTGTTTTTTTTTTCACTGTTAATCTTTGTCTTTTCATTATTGTCATTGCATGAAATGGTTCTTCATTTTCTCTCTCTTGTCTACTAACTAATTTAACTCACACATCTGTTTCATACATATTTTTTGTTCTAACATCTAACAATCGCTTTTTTTCCCTGTCTCTTCTTGATCGATTGTCACATGAAATTTTAGTGCACTTAAGTGGTATATGTATGCATTTTCTTAGCTTCTTATTCATTCATACTGACAATATTCTTCTTCGCACATAACTTCAGTTCTATTCTTTTGAAAAAAAAATCGCTTCACATTGCCGTAGGTCTAATGCTTTTTTGAATTGATTTCCCGCATGCTCATTTGTCTCCACTTGACTCATTCTTGCAAGTGTTATCTTTTTTTCTCTCTCTAACCTCTCGCTATAATACTAATAAATGATCATTTTCGCTTTGCTTGCATAACTACAGCTGTCTGTCATGAATTTTTTAACATAGCACATCTAGTAAAAATTTCCTTCTAATAAATCAAAATTGATCTTAGTTTCTTTTTTTATTTCTTTGTCTGCCTGTTTCTGTTGTTCTCACGTTTTTTTTTATTATTGATTATCGCTTGTTTCGAAGGTGATATTGACATCATCAAATTATTTATTGAAGTAAGAAGAATGAAATGTGTATGTAAAGTTCCTTTTTTGTTCTATTTCAAAGCATGGTGCTGATCCAAATCAAACAGAAAGTGAACATCATTTGACACCGATTCATGTCCTGTGTGATGCAGAATATC